TATAGTTTTATTTTTACAATTACTTCATGCTTACTTCAGGTTTAATTTTTATTTTCAGTCACCCTCTTAAGTGTATGGTGCATGGGAGTTCTATTCTACGCCGAGGTGAAAGATTTCATGACTCCCGGCATAACTGAGGATCTATTTGTTGACACTTCTCGGGGACCTAAGCTGCGCATAAATTTAGATATTGTCATGCCTACTATATCATGCTCTTGTAAGTAATCTCTCCAGAAAAGTCTCCGAACATTATGGAGCCAAATTATTGCTGGACGGTGTTTGGAAAGTAGTGCTTCACTCTGTTTCAGTTTTATCTCTGGATGCCATGGATTCTGCTGGTGAACATCATTTGCACATTGACCATAATATTTACAAAAGACGCCTTGATTTAATGGGTCAGCCTCTAGAGGACCCTCAAAAAGAAGGTTGTATTCTTCACTTTAATCTTATTTCATCTCTGAACACAAAAATAAAAAGTTGCTTTATTATCTTGTTTTCAGATTTACAAACAAGTACATCTGTTAAATCATCAACAGAGGCCCCTAACATTACCAAGGTATTTCTCTTTCCGTCTTTGTTCTTTTGTAAAAAGTTTATACACTAATTTTATACTTTTTTCAGAGTGTAGAGCTTAAAAATGACACATGTGGTAGTTGCTACGGTGCTCCCAAAGAGATAATCAAGTAAGATTTTCTATCTTACTTAGATACCTAATTAATTCGTATCAGTGTTTCATAGTAAACAAGTATGTGTTTTTTATCTGTCTAAATGTAAGGTGCTGTAACACCTGTGAAGATGTAAGAGAAGCATATAGGATAATGCAGTGGAAGTTTCCAGACCCGGACCAGGTTGAGCAATGTAAAAATGACCAATCAAACCTAGCAGCAAAGGGAGCCTTTAAGGAAGGGTGTCAAATTTATGGATACTTAGAAGTCAATAGAGTAAGTTTTTACTTTAGGTACTTAGGTATTTGTGGAACTAATTTTGAAGGATCATCATTGGTAACATTTTGCTTGTTTTTCCCAGGTGGGAGGTAGTTTCCACATAGCACCAGGAAGAAGTTATTTAATTGATCATGTACATGGTGAGTGAGACACATGTACCTCTTATGTTCTAGTCTTTGCTCTAGAGTATAGCATTACTAATGTTTTCTTAACTTTCTGAATTACAGTGCACGATGTTCAACCATTTTCGGCATCTTCCTTCAATACTACTCATACAATCAGACACCTCTCATTTGGTCTTAACATTCAAGGGAAAACAAATCCAATTGATGGAATTTATGTAACCACACCAGACGGTAAGCATATTAACAAGTTAATATTAACAAGGTTTGTTTCTGGATTTTTAATTGTAAGAAAACAAATCAATAATTCTAATTCAACTTGAAAGTTCACATATTATTATACATTTCCTATGCTAACATCTGATGCCAGTTCCAATAGCCATAAAAGTTCCAAAAGTGCCACCTGCTTGTAACATGGCCTTTCCTGCACTGTTAACCAGTTCACGTCCTCTCATACCATATCTGTTAAGGGGAAAGGTTGAACATAAGTTGTCAAGTTTATCACTCTTCATATTTTATATAACCTCAAAATTTTTATACTGTACCTTAATGCTGTGAAGCCTCCAAAGATAGCCCCTGATGCCATTCCGACACAGAAGCCGATCATTGCTCCCATTTTCATACGGTCAAAGCAGGATGGACCTTGTTGCCCTCCATACATACTTCCTGGTACTGCAGGCATTGTTCAGTTTCTCCTCTTCCAGCTTAATCATAAGAAAACTAGTTACAAACCGATGATAAAGTAGGAACAGGGTTGATTAGTCTCTTTAGGGGTTTTCAAATATGAGTTCTTCATACTATATTGCATTATCTTATGCCAAGATTCAACCGATTGATGGATACAGAAACGCGATTGTGTTTGAAATTGCACATATCAACTAACTATTCACTCACCTACTTCTTTTATTATTTGGAATGGATGAGTTTCTCGTAATACTTGAATGTTGAGTGGAAACTTCAGGCACCTAACCCCCACAAGCCGGCTATGTAATTTATTGATTTTTTTTAGAAGAACGATAGTATATATGTTTTTATTTGAACAACTTGACAACAACTCGAATATAAAGATCTTAGTGAAAGCTATCCAAATTGCATTATGTAAGTGATGAAATAACTGTGGAACCATGGAGAGTAAAGGTATGGAGGAGCTTCTGCGGCCGCCGGGCCGGGGAAAAATGGCCACAAAACGCGTCCGGACGAGCCGAGCCGCCGCAGCCCGCCGCCAGAGCTAGCCAGAGCGCGCCACCTCCGCTAAGGGGATGGATCGCGGCCGGGACTGCAGCGGTGCAATGGGCGGACGGGGGCGCTCGTCACGTTATCTGGCTCCAGCTCTTAAACCGTTCAGATTTTGACTTTTTGTGTCCAAGGGGGTGCTGTAGGCTATGGTCCAAGCTTTCCGGCGCTGCAATTATTTTCCCTGTGAGACCCATACAACCCGGACTAGAGAGCCGACAAGACCGGCGAAATCGTCTGGGCAAGCCGCGCCGAGGCGCGCCGACACCTAGAACGGGTTCCAGGACTTGAACCGTTCAAATTTGGACAAAATGCGTCGGTAGTGTGTTTGAAGCCCTTAGGTCTAGCTTTCAGGGGCTGTTGTTATTTTTATTGTGCGAGCACTACCACCCGAGGGGGAGAGCCAGACACATCGTATAGCTGGCAATGGTACCTGACATATGGGTAGCACCGTGGGGTAGGGCTCTCACTTTTACCCGCGCATCCGGGTTACCCACTGCGGGTCTACGCGGGTACCCGGGTTACCCGCTCCGTGTCTACGCGGGTACCCGGGTTACCCGTTCACCCGGTTCCTACCCGGGTCACCCGAGTACCCACGGGTCACGAGTTTGCGAGCCCTATCGGGTACCTCTGATGACACCAGCCCTGTTCGAATTTGAACGGTGGGCCCCACGCCACGGTACCCAATATCAGGTACCATTGCCAGCTATACGATGTGTCTGGCTCTCCCGCTCGGGCGGTATTGCTCGCACAATAAAAATAACAACAGCCCCTGAAAGCTAGACCTAAGGGCTTCAAACACACTACCGACGCATTTTGTCCAAATTTGAACGGTTCAAGTCCTGGAACCCGTTCTAGGTGTCGGCGCGCCTCGGCGCGGCTTGCCCAGACGATTTCGCCGGTCTTGTCGGCTCTCT